TATATTTTGAAATTTGGCATTTAACAATGACAAATAGCTTTCCATTAAAATTAATTCTATTAACCTAAAATGATGTGTTATATGTCAATTATATGCTCCATTAAACTTTCTCAAAGGTAAGAATATCCAATCCAATTAATATCTCAAAATCAGTCAGAAAAATAAAATAAAAATATAAAGTGAAGAGTGAATGAAGCAACATTTGCAATGTTTACAGCATAGCTCAGTTGGTAAAGAATTTACCTGTAGTGCAGGAGACCCCAGTTCGATTCCTGGGTCTGGAAGAATCCCTGGCGAAGGGATAGGCTACCCACTCCACTATTCTTGGGCTTCCCTGGTGGTTCAGCTGGTTAAGGATCCGCCTGTAATGTGGGAGATCTGGGTTCCATCCCTGGGTTGGAAGACCCCCTGGAGAAGGGAAAGGCTACCCACTCCAGTATTCTGGCCTGGAGAACTTCATGGACTGTTAGTCCCTGGGATCACAAAGAGCTGGACATAACTGAGCGACTTTCACTTTCACTTTCTGCTGCTACTGCTGCTAAGTCACTTCAGTCGTGTCCGATCCTGTGCAACCCCATAGACGGCAGCCCACCAGGCTCCCCCGTCCCTGGGCGTCTCAAAGCAAGAACACTGGAGTGGGTTGCCATTTCCTTCTCCAATGCATGAAAGTGAAAAGTGAAAATGAAGTCGCTCAGTCGTGTCCAACTCGTAGCAACCCAATGGACTGCAGCCTACCAGGCTCCTCCGTCCATGGGATTTTCCAGGCAAGAGGGGTTTCACTTTCAACCCCTCTTAAATATGGCCCAGTCACTCAAAGCAGAGCGCTCTTGAAGAAGTTATGGGTCACACAGAGAAGTGTAGCTGTGGTCCTTGCTTGGACTCTGTGCTCTGTTCAGTAGGGAAGGGAGACCCCAAGATGAATTTTGGAACGAGAAATGCTTTATGCCAACAGACAGTTATAGATAAAGCCCTGGGAAGATTTGATGAGCACAAGCTGAGACTGTCAGGACTCCCACAAGCAAACTCGAGGGGATGGTAAAGGGTTCAGGGAGCAATTAGAACCCGAGTTAAACCTTAAAGGAAGGGAACGGTTTAGACTCAGACACAGGGCTGATGAAGGTAATAGACGAAGGTTCAGATTGCTGACTGTAAACTGGTTCCCAGAAGCAGGGTCAGAGGCAAGAGTTTGGGGTGTGGCCCCAGGAGGAACCAATCAGAAAGGGAGGAAGGAAGGGGGTGTTAATTACAGGGAAACCAGTGGGGCGCTGCTGGGGTCACTGAGAGGTCAGGAGGGTGATCCCCTGGGGAGGGGTGCCAGGGTTCCCCTCTGACTCCATCCGGTTACCGGGCAGGGGCTGAGTGTGGCTCCCGGGTGCTAATTACACGGCATGTCCAGCTTCCCTGGGACCTGCAGACAGAGAAGGTCCTTGGGCAGACCGTGCCCAAGGCAGGAACAAGCTTCACTTAGGAGATGAGCTGGTGCAGAGGGCAATGGGCAGGGCATCCGTAGGGGCACAGCAGTCATGAGCAGAAACAAAATCTGAGTCTTTGGGAAGATTCCCTTGTGGAAAGAAAATGGAAAATGACTTTTTAAAAGTTAAGGGGAATTTTTCGTTATTGTTTTTAGATGCAGACACATAATTGTGGGGATGACCATCTTTTCTATCTTTATGGGTTGCCTGGAACTCAGATTCCATGTTACTAGAAATGTTAACAGTATTTAAAAAAAAAATCAACAGAAGCTAGAGGAAGTTCCTAGACTCCAAACTCAGTATATCATCTAGAGTATATAATATAAAGATTACCAGTTTCAGAAAAACAGAGGGGAGAATGACCCATCATTGGAAAAAGAATCCACAGCATCCCCAGAGAAGATGGAGATGTTGGAAAAGCAGATAGAGATGCTGAAGGACCGATTGTGCTTATGTTCAGGCATTCACGGGGAAAGGTAGACAGAACCGGTAAGCAGAGAAGGAATCTTAGCAGAGAAATGTAAACTGTTTTGGCAAGGAGTCAAATGCTTTCTGGAGACCTAGAAATCAACGATTGGCAACACAGAATTAATCACTCATTTGTCCAACAGACACTTAGCCCGAGCCTGTATTGTGCCGAGCATTACTGGGGACCGCAGGACACAGAGATATCAGATGATATACGTTCTGGTGGGAAGGCAGCTAATATATAATCACATAAATATAAAGTGCAATGTCAGGTAATAATTACGTGTGCCGTAGGAAAAATAAACAGGGTGAAGGGATAGAAGTTTTCAAGGGATGCTATTCCAAATCTCCATTTCCTGGAGGCAGAACAAGCCCTCTCCCCAGGTCCATCAGGCTGGCGTGGCAGGAAGGGGAGAGAAAGCCACCTGCAGAGCTGGCGACAGAGGACGGGCTCGTGACTCCCCACTGAGCCATGGAGTGGAGGGTCCCCGTCGTCTCTGCCCCACGAGGCCTGTTTTCCTCTCCTTAGGTCCAATGCCCGGCTGGCTGGGACAGGCTGTTTCCTGTCCCCCGTCGGGAGGGGAAGGCTTGGGGGAAGCCAGCCGAGGTGGGTCACATGCTCTGCAAAGCCAGTCACGGGAAAGCAGGTGGAGGGAAACACGGGTCTGCCCCACAGCGACCCAGGAATGGGAGGGCCAAGTTCTCTAATCAAAGGACAGATTTGTTAGTTTGCAAGAAGTAAGGTCAAGGTCATTTACTTCGGTGTCATTGCAAATAGTTTTTCTTTTATTTATGGGCAACAGATATAGGCGTTTGGAAGGAAATTCATCCTTATGGTGTCCGACTCTTATCGCAAAGAGTTGCACATGATTCAGCGACTAACACTAATACTACTCATCCTTATGGCAAAAAGATAACGTCAGTTTCAAGCATTTTTGGAGTGAAGTGGGCTAAGCGAGGAACCGAAGTGTCTCCTCCCTTCTCAGGAGACCCAGTTTTTCCTCCCCTCGCTTCCCGGCCCCCTCCCCACTGTGAGCCCCGCTCCAACACACAAGCAGATGTAGGGCCTCCTATCACTGAGGCCCCAAATTGTGCAAGAGGTGAGGCCAGTTGGTGGAGATGACCTGCTTCCCAAAAGGTCAAATATCGGGGAAGTGGGTCTTAGACACCAAGAGAGGGGAAAGAGGAAAGGGAAGGAGGCGGTGGGGGACGGGGGACAGGAAACAATTACCTGGATTTGACAACAGTGTCTACAGGCCACAGACACTACAGAGTGTCCACAGTCTCAGTTTGCAGGTCTGAGGAAACATATAGGTCCATTTTCTGGACTCCGTCCTTCATGGAGAAGAGCAAGAGAATGTCTGTGGGACAGAGAATAAGGGTCATATGAGTAATTCAACAGAGCCCCCACGTGTCAGCCCCGCTCCACTCCACGGGGGCAACGCATCACCTGGAGCTCGCCTTCAGGAGCAACTCGCAAAAGCCAGTTCCACACAGCCAAACCTCTTCTGTGCAGCTGTGCCCGTCACCCCAACCCAAGGCTCTGCTAAGGACCTGCGGGGAGCGGGGTCAGCTGACAAGGCCAGCGGGCAATGTCAGCCAGCTCAGGGCACTGGTTGCCAGGGGCGGGGGTGTGTGGGGCAGGCTGCTGCTGGCAGGGCTGGGAGGAGCAGGGGGCTTCCCAGAACACACGCAGCAGAGTGGAAAGGCAGCTCCTTTCTGTGAGCAGGCGCTGAGGTACAAAGCAAGGACATTCACAACAGGCTGGGAAGCAGACCGACAGCTTTCTTCGCACAACTTATTGGAGGAGGGTGGGTAAAAAATGATCATGCTCTTTGGGAAGACCCGGGAGCTAAGAAGGGTGGCTCCGAAGCTTGAATTCATTGAGTCAATTGATAATGACAGAAATCTGACATGAATTGTTTTGCAGCATTAATGAAACGGTGGGCAGCGGAGCCAGCAGGGCAGGAGGTGGGTCCTGGGTCACTCCCGGGCAGGAGTGACCGTCTCGAAGGCCACTGACCCTGAGCACTCTTGTGCCGAGGGTCACGCAGTCACCAGCCTCTAACGCCCTCTGAGCCTGAATCCCAATAGCCAGACGGCCTCCTCTAGCCACTGGATGAACCGCACCTAGAACGTTGGCCACAGCTGGTTTCCTGCAGGACGTCCTGCCCGAGGGACACAGGAAGTGCCATCCCGCATCCTGAGCATCGCCTGGCATCCTCCAGGATCAGTGTCACCCGAGTCACACACAGGGTTAGCGTCGCCTGCCTCACACTGTAAGGTCACTGTTGGTTTCATGGGCCTCAGGCTAGAGGGTCAGTGTTGTTATTTTACTTAAACAAAATCTTGGACTTTTCATTTTGTACGAGGATAGAGCTGATTAACGATATTGGGATAGTTTCAGGGGGACAGAAAAGGGACTCAGCCACACATATACGTGGATCCATTCTCCCCCAGGCTTCTGTCCGCTCCAGGCTGCCATGTAACCCTGAGCGGAATCCACTGAGCTATACAGTGGGGCTTCCCTGGGGGCTCAGCTGGTAAAGAATCCGCCTCTAATGCAGGAGACCCCAGTTCAATTCCTGGGTGAGGAAGATCCCCTGGAGAAGGGAACAGCTACCCACTCCAGTATTCTGACCTAGAGAATTCTACGAACTGTACAGTCCATGCAAAGTGTTGGACACAACTGAGCGACTTTCACTTCACATGCCATAGGTCTTTGTTGGTTATCCGTTTTAAATACGGCAGAGTGTACATGTCCACCCCAAACTCCCTAACTATCCCTTGTCCTCAGTAACCATGAGTTCGTTCTCTAAGTCTGTGAGTCTCTTTGTGATTGTTAAGTTAATCTGTACCGTGTCTTTTTAGATTCCTCATAGAAAGGATGCCATTTGATATTTCTCCTTCTCTGGCTTAGTGTTGATTAGTGTCATCTGGCTCCCACTGCAAGGCCAGAACTGTTTTGCACCCAGAGGCTTTAGGTGAGAATTCCTCTTATCATTTGCCTGCCTGATTGCAGTCTTGAGGGAATGACTTACATACTTTTAAAACCTGCAGTGAAGTCTACATAGAATCCACAGGTGCAGAGCAGTTAATAGAACTCTCTCACCCATTAAGGGCTAGGAGGGATTTGAAGTTTGCTTCGACCTGCGAGTTGAAGGTGAGTTAAAATGACAGAGGAGAAAGAAAAGATTGTAAAACAGAGGAAGAGGCATTGGAATCTTAGAAGACAGTGTTAGCTTGTCTGCCTGGGGTGAGTGGAGAATTACCAGTGGTAGGAAACCTGAGACATTCTTGGCGGGGAGATCCCCAAGTCTCCCTGTGAGCCCTTGGCCTGCAGTGGCCAGCGTGTGATGAAATACCAGCTCCCACAGCAGGAAAACTCCATCCTGGGGCCAGCCCTCAGCTCTGCTTCCTCCCTGATGTCAGGAGTTCTCTGTGGTCCTTAAAGCATCGTTTTACGCCTCTCTAGTTACCTTCGTGGGGATGGAGCCTACCTACTCGGCGATCTGCGTTGCTGGATTCAATCCCATCAGTGCTGAGTCAGTGCTGAGTCAATTTGGTGTCACTGATGTTTCTTGACTCACCATATCCCCATCCACCCTGCTCTGCTCCCCACCCACGGATCGAACCCAGGTCTCCTGCATTGCACGAAGCTTCAGTCCCTATGAATACTGCAGAGTTTATGAAAAGGGGCTGCTCTGCCTCAAACCGTGACATCACAAAACAAGGAAGAGTGCTATAAAATATGGCTTTTATTATCCAGTTCTGCAAATATGCTTCATCCTATCTTAGTCATAGATTGGTCCCCTTGCAAAGTGGCTTCAAACTGACCTGTCAGCTATAGCTCGATGGTGTGAGAGGAACCGGCACACATTTCATCGTGGGTCCCAGGGTGCTACCTGGCTGGGGTAAGCAAGTCAGCTCACCAGTCTCTGCAAGTCCTTTAGATGAGGGGGTGTTCCAAGGGTGGACTGTACCAGGCGGAACACAGCACCCACAAAGCCTGCAGAGTCCTCCTGCAGGGACAGCAGGGAGCACGCAGTGGATGGTGCTGTGATGACTGGAGACTGTGCACTCTGGCACCTGAAATGTGACCGAGAGCCATGCACTTCAGAGGTGACGTCCTGCCCTGCCGTCCTGCCTGCTGACCTAACGCGCTGATGTCTGTTGAAACTGGGTCTCCCTACCTCACTGGCCCACCTTGCTCAGTGGCCACCGAGGCCATGTTGTCCTAGGCCATCCCTGCTGAAGACTGAGTGAATGAATGAATGCAGGAAGAGTCACTTCCTACAGGCTTGAATTTGTCACTCTCGGTGCACCATTCACTTCCCACAACTGAATTTCCTGTCTCTGTAACACCCCTTCCAGGCCGCATTTTGTTTTAGATTTCAGAAGACTGCTATTGTGGTTGTTGTTCAGTTGCTCAGCCATATCCATGATCTCAGGGACTGCAGCACACCAGGCTTCCCTGTCCTTCACCATCTCCTGGAGCTTGCTCAAATGCATGTCCATCGAATCAGTGATGCCATCCAACCATCTCATCCTCTGTCATCCCGTTCTCCTCCTGCCCTCAATCTTTCCCAGCATCAGGATCTTTTCTAATGAGACAGCTCGTCACATCAGGTGATCAGAATATTGGAGTTTCAGCTTCACATCAGTCCTCCAAATGAATAATTCAGGGTTGGTTTCCTTTGAGACTGACTGTTTTGATCTCCTTGCCATCCAAGGGACTTTCAAGAGTCTTCTCCATCCACAGTCCGAAAGCATCAGTTCTTTGGTGCTCTGCCTTCATTATGGTCCAACTCTCTCACATCTATACATGGTTACTGGAAAAACCACAGCCTTGCCTATACAAACCTTTGTTAGCAAAGTAATATTCTGCTTTTTCATATCTCCATATTTTGAAATGTTTTTGTGACGTGATGGATTAGGCGTGGCCAGTGGAAGACTATGAGGTACTTTCACATTGGTTACTAAGTACACGTTAGACCTTTCTGACCTCAGTTGCTGTGGTTCATTTGCTCAGTTGTGTCCAACTCTACACGATCCCATGGACTTCACCACACCAGGCTTCCATGTCCTTCATCATCTCCCAGAGCTTGCTCAGACTCATGTCCATTGAATTGGTGGTGGCATACAGCCATTTCATCCTCTGTTATCTGCTTCTCCTCTGTCTTCAATCTTTCCCAGTATCAGGGTCTTTTCAAATGAGTCAACTCTTCATATCAGGTGGCCAATGTATTGGAGCGTCAGCATCAGTTCTTCCAATGAATATTCAGGACTGATTTCCTTTAGGATTGACTGGTTTGATCTCCTTGCTGTTCAAGGGACTCTCAAGAGTCTTCTTCAACACCACAGTTCAAAAGCATCAATTCTTTGGCACTCAGCTTTCTTTATAATCCAACTCTCACATCCATACATGCCTACTAGAAAAATCACAGCTTTGACTAGATGGACATTTGTTGACGAAGCAATGTCTCTGCTTTTTAATATGCTGTCTGGGTTTGTCATAGATTTTCTTCCAGGGGACAAATGTCTTTTAATTTCATGGTTGCAGTCACCATCTGCAGTGGTTTTGGAGCCCAAGAAAAGAAAGTCTGTCACTGTTTCCACTGTTTCCCCATCTATTTGCCATGAAGTGCTGGGACCTGATGTTCTGATCATTTTTTGAATGTGGAGTTTTAAGCCAGTTTTTTCACTCTCCTCTTTCACTTTCATCAAGAGACTCTTTAGTAGCTTTCTGACCTCAGAAAAGAAGAAGAAAAATGTTACAGTTGAGTAAAACATTACTTTTTGCCCACCCATTCTAATTTTTGAAAAGTTTCTGGCAGTATCTTTGTAAAATGTACTTACATCCTAAACATAGGTCTGAAAAACACTAGTAACCCAATATGACTGAGAGCAGCCTGGATATTAAATGCCAAATATACAGATTAATTATGGGAATCCTGACAAAACCTTAAACTATGCTTGGAGAGAGGAGGGAAGACTGCTTTTTTGACATGAAAATGGCTCAGAAGTCTTTACTCTGTCAAATCACAGATGCTCTGAATGGTCTGAAACACATATGCCCTTAGTAATTCTGCTGTGGTGCTAGGGCTTTTTCCAAGTTTAAACACCGCTGGTTTTTCAGACATGGTATAAATTTTGTTTTCCACCTTTGCTGCTGTTCATTCACTAAGTCATGGTCAACTCTTTGTGACCTCATGAACTACAGCATACCTGGCTTCCCTATTATTGCTATCGCCCTGAGTTTGTTCAAATTCATGTCCATTGAATCAGTGATGCCATCCAACAATCTCATCCTCTGTTGCCCCCTTCTCCTCCTGCCTTCAATCTTTCCCAGCACTGGGGTCTTTTCCAATGAATTGGTTATTCACATCATGTGGCCAAAGTATTGGAATTTCAGCTTCATCAGGCCTTCCAGTGAACATTCAGGGTTGATTCCAAAACCACCATATCCGCTGTTACCTTAGGTTCTATGGACTGGTTTTGTTAAACACTGTGACCATGACAAAATGATGAAGCACTTTTTAGGATCTGGTTTTCTTTGTGACCCTATGTGCACATGAGCCAAATGCATCACCAAATGCATCAGGGCCCAGGGGTCTGTCAAGGTACAGATCCAGGTCTCCCTCAAATGTTCCCAAGGGTGAGTCCCCTGGACTGAGTCACTTGCCACTGTTATTGTTTCTGGAAATAACTCAGCATCACACATCTCTGCAGTGAGGCTGCTTAACATTGTTTTGCGAAGTAAACGGCTATTTTTGGGTGTAAAACTGCCATCAACAGGCCAGCCCGTGACCCAGTCTTACTAACCAATGCTCTCTAGCAGTCAGACTGCCTTGGGAGTGTTTCAGCGAAACAGAAGTGGGAATTGTGTCTACTTATTAATGTAGTTTGAAAAACTGACACATGAGATGTCAAATAGCCTCTGCTACATTCCTTATCCTTACGTCCAACACACATCCTCACGACAATTAATTTATTTAATTTTAGGAGTATATTCTTCCACTCCTAGAATTGAGTAATTTCAGTAATTAGCTCCAGAAATGGCTAATTTTGGGTCTCCAAGAGAGAGATGAAGCAGAGATTTACTGGGCATCCTGAGGTCTTCTGTGATAGCCATAGTCAAGGGACAAATCAAAAACACACAAACAAATCCAACAGGCATTTTTAAAGCCAGTAAATGTAATTAGAGTGTGTGCACACTTTACTACTCACAATAGCCAAGACACGGGAGCAACCTACATGTTCATCAATGGAGGGATAAATAAAAGATGCAGTGTTTATATATATATATAACTGGTATAAACATATATGTGGTATAAATATATATATGAAAGTGTATGAAAGTGTTAGTCACTCAGTCATGTCCAACTCTTTGCAACCCCATGGGCTATAGCCTTCCAGGCTCTTCTGTCCATGGGATTCTCCAGGAAAGATACTGGAGCGGGTTGCCATTTCCTCCTCCAGGGGAACCTCCTGACCAAGGGGTCAAACTTGGGTCTCTTGCACTGCAGGCAGATTCTTTACCATCTGAACCACCAGGGAAGCCTATATATATGAATATATGTATTCATTTTAGGATTAAATCCTATTATACACACACACATATATATACATATATGAAAGTTTTAGTTGCTCAGTTGTGTCCGATTCTTTGCAATCTCATGGACTGTAGTTTACCAGGCTCCTCTGTCCATGGGATTTCCCAGGCAAGAATACTGGAGTGGGTAGCCATTCCCTTCTCCAGAGGATCTTCCCAACCCAGGGATGGAACCCAAGTCTCCCGCATTGCAGGCAGATCAGAGTCTTTATCATCTGAGCTACTAGGGAATCTCCTATATATATTATTATTTTTATATTTGTATTTATTATGTATTTTCATGACTTGGCAACTGAACTGTAACAACTGTTTACATATAGTATATATATAATGGAATATTACTCAGCCATATAAAAAATGAAAAAAATGCCATTTTCAGCAACATGGATGGGACTAGAGACTATCATACTAAATGAAGTCAGAAAGAGAAAGACAAATACTGTATGATATCATGTAGAATCTAAAATATGACACAACTGTATTTATTTGTGAAGCAGAAACAGACTCAGGGACATAGAGAATATGGACTTGTGGTTACCAAGAGGGAG